AGTCCAAGTAACATCAATTTTTTGCGTCAACTTAATAGCTCGATCATTTTTATTGTTGTTTTAAAAAATTAAAAAAATTAAAAAAAATTAAACTTTTACATAGCTTAAGAGCTCAGAATGGCTTAAGAGTGCCTTTCTCTCAGATTGGTCTTATGTTTTATGTTTTTATCAGCGGTTTCCTACTCTTTGTCAATTTTCTATGTCAATTTCTCTTTGTTTTCCACCTTGGTATTGGTCGAGTTACCTGTCTGCTTCTCAGTCTTACCCTTTATCATTGTAACATAACATTGTTATGCTATAGATTAGTCTTTTTGTACTTTTCTAACCCTTGTAAGTGTTTACTTTCAAATAGGGAGTTGAGCCTATAAGTTGCATAACATACTGACTATGTCAGTCTAATATCATATTATAGGCAGATGGGACATCTGTTCCATGAACTCTATAACCGAGGTAATCATTTTTGGCTCTATCCTCAAAGAGATTGAGAGCTTGATAGTTTCTCTTATTGGCACCTGTTCATTTTTAAACCTCACTAATGCTATGGTGATTGGCTTCAACTGATATTTGCCAATCTTCGTTTTCTTGAAACAGTCATAGTACATAATGTCGATTGAACTTCTATTGTCAAATAAGATTCTTTTGACTACATAGTTGTACACCAAGACTGTGATCATTATGGCATCATCACATGGGTGTTGGATCCCCTCTAAATCTTTTGAGCTGAATAAGATCGACTCATTTCTCTAATCTTTTTCTTTTTTAGTCGAGATGCCTATTGCCATTATCAGGCTTGATTAAACTTTTTTTTCGTTAAGGTAGAGTTGCCTCTTATAATTACGTTAGTCACCGTGGTGATTGGCTTGCTATTGTCAGCTTAAACCTCTTTCTAATTCAGCTCTTCTTCTTAAGCATCCCTTCTTCCTTGATATGATCTTTTCTTTCTGCCCTAGGTTGGGGCACTTTGTGGTCTCTTTTATAGTTTTTTCTAAACTAGTCTTATCTTTTTTATGCCATAAATCTTTTCAGCTGACCTTACCTTATCAGAGCTTCAATATCATTTTTCAAGTTGACACAGTCTTCGGTATTTGGCCGATCTCCTAAAAGAAAATGCATCTTTTTGTTAGATCCCACCTTGTGTTCTATTTCAATGGCTTAGGCTATTTGAGGTCAGGATTTTTTTTAATTTACATCAAAATCCTCTCTCGAAAGGTATTCAATGCAGTTTAGCTTCTTTTTTTGCTGAAACTTTTAGCCCTATGTTGTCTCCCTCTTGGGTTCATAAAATTTCTTGCTTTTTTTATGACTGATGAGGAATGATGAGACTCTCTTACCTTGACTGTCAATGAGAGGGATGAGTTTCTCTCACTTCAGTTTATTTTCATAATAGCTTCGATGTTGGTGTATTTCTTTACTATTCGCAAGGTGTCGACTAGAGTTTTAGGTGGTTCCAGTGACAATGTTAACTTTAAATTGTACTCATTACCATTGAGTCTACTAGTCAATAAGGTAATAGTGACCATCTATTCTAGGTCTTTAACCTATAGAGCTTTCATGTTAAAACACGTGACATAGCTTTTTAAAGTTTCATTTCGCCTTTAATGAATTGACATTAGGCTTAGGGTTATTTTCTTAGCTCTTCGGCTACTCACAAATTGGGATAGGAATGAGTGGTTGAACTCCTTGATAGTAGCGATTGACCTCGACTCTAGAGCTATACCAGGATCGAGCTGCGCCTTTCAATGTAGTGGCTAGACCTTTGCACATTATAGCCTCATCTACTATATGTATCATCATGTTAGTTCTATAAAGTTACAAATGATCAAAGGAGTAAAAAATATCATCATATGTCTCCAAGATTGGCATTTTAAATCCCTTGAAAGGCATAGCTTTGTCAATCTCTTTAGTAAAGCATGAGATCTTCAAGAATTGAGCTCATCCTCAATTGCTATTGGTTTCGTTTTTAGCTCTTTCTCCATAGCTTGCATTTGAGCTTTCAAGCTCTGTTCGGCTAAAGTTCATGGTCTGTTTGTTTGGACTTTTGGGTTGTGGCATGTGTAGAATTGTAGCTAAGGCAGGTAATGAGTTGGATTAGTGTGTTCTTCTTCTCTAGAGGTCGAGAAAGCTTTCACCTCTTCGTAGCTTACCTGTCCGATAATAGCTTATCGGCCCAGTGTGACTAAGTTTGGCATTTTAAAGACTTATGGTGGGTTATAGTTTGCAGTATCTACTTAAGAGCTTGTATTTGTTCCGTTAGGGCTTGATATTACTCCATGGTTGGTCCTGCCTGTAGTTGAACCGGGTAGGCAGAATGCTAGCTTAGATGAGTTTCTTTTCCAATTGAGGAGATTATCTCTCCTTCTTTTTGAGTTTTTTTTTTTTGTTTTTCTTGACGACATTATTTTGTGCTCGACTAATGTGAAATGTGCCTCTACTTGGCACATCAAATGTTGGTGTCGAGCTTCGACCTAAGGGTGTTCTTGTGAATGCAGAAAAAAAGGATAGTTAGCGACAAAGGTAAGGATGTTCCCTACGTTTGCACTCCAATGCATAAGTCAATAAGAATCAGGTTGGAAATGAAGTGAGAAAGTAAAAAAGAAATAAAGATATGAATTAGATTAACCTGGCTTCATGGTACCTGAGTCTCCATATTTATAGGTAAGCTTAAGCAGATAAAAAAGGAACAATTAGGATAAGGTCGAGCTAAAGTGGCATTGAAGATGTCAGACCGATTTGTCATGTCAAGTCGGCATAAATGATCAAGATACACCTAATTGTCTACTGACGATTGAGAAAGGAAAAAAAATTACTATGTCCTTTTGACCATTATATGTCTTTAACAGTATGTTAATCCATTTGCAAAATCTAAATATTTCACTGTTAATAAATATAAAAATTTTTATCATAAAAATTTAATTTATATAATGTCGAGATCTATATTGAAGCATGTCTATGTTCTATTAGAGATGACCGCATGTGTAGTGCCAGTAGCTTAATTTCTTGCATGCATAGATTAAATTGAAACAATAATTTAGCATTAAGAGAGAGAAGGGGAGAGAATTTAGCTGCTGCGAGTCAAATTTAAGAGCAATGATGGGAGGCACTAAAATCTTGGTCCAAATTGGCCACTGTTTGGGTTTAGTTTAAGCTCTCAGCTCCAGGATATTTGGCCTATGATTCAATCATGTTAGAGGGCATCTTTTGTTTTTTTTTTTTTTTTTTGGGTACAAACTAAAATGGTGATGCTGTAAGGCTAAATGTGGTTAATTTGGCTTTCATCAAAGACTAATTACAAAATTAATGTTGAAAAAGCACATCAAGGCTATTATTATAAAGAAGATGAAAGAACCATCAATCAGTCTGAAAAAAATTAAGAAAATCAAGAATTGATTCGAAATTATAATATTCGATTTAATTTGGATCGATTTTTTTTAATTTAATTTGAATAAAATTTAAATATTAAATATATATATTAAATTCGAATTGAATTTTATATTAGAATATGAAAAATAAAAAAAATTAAAAAAAAGATTATATATTTTTATTAATTTTTATATATTTTTTAAATTTTTATAAAATAAAAATAATTATTTTATATATAAATTTATTTAAATACATTAAAAATTTTATTAAAATAATATATAAAAAAATTTTAAAAATCAATAAACTAAATCAAATCAAGTTGTTAGAATTCAATTAAAAAGATTGTATTGATTTTAAAAAAAAATTTGATTTAGATTTAGATTGAATTTTAAAAATTTATAATACTATCCGTTATTTGAAAATTTGAATTGAATTCAATTTGATCTTAATTGTTATCATTCTTAACAATAATCATTGAGTTTATATATATATATATATATATGTATATATATATATATATATATATATATGATTAAATTAAGACACAAAAGCAAAACATTAAACACTTTTTTTTTTGTCTCCCACAGTTAGATTAGTGGTAAAGGTGAGAAGTAGCTCTCAATAACAAGTTGAACCGAGAAAGTGAGAATCTACATAGTTCAGTCATGAATGTATCAAGTAAAAAATCTTTTCAGAAAAAAATTAAGACAAAAATTTTTTTAAAAAAAGGTGGTATTTGTGTGTGTGTGTGTGTGTGTATATATATATATATATATATATATATATATATATATATATTTGTCAAAGTTAGAACATAGAATCAAAAGATGAATTGATGTACATGTACATCAATCAGTCTGGAAAGAAAATGGTTCAATGGCCTTCTTGCTGCTTCCCAAAAGGAGTTAAAAAACATTTAGACTTCACCACTCTGATAATGCTAAGATTCCTGCAACTGGGGTTACCATACCAACTCTTGATTTGTCATCATCTGGGGGTTTGATTTTTTTTGTTGCTTCAACTGTTGAACACCCTCTCCTTCCTTCCTTTGCTTTGACGCTGGTATTTGATTATTGCATGAGATTCCAAAATTCCTCTTGATATATATTTATTTTTATGGTGGTGGAGAAACCAGAGAAAAATGATGGTTGACACGATGTCTTCAGTAATCAAAACACTATGAAACTATCAAACTAGTTAAAGTTTTGGTCTGGCTTGATCTCTGGATTGTGATGATCACCCTTTTGTTGGATTGTCCTTGTGTCCAATTTAAAGTTTTTAACTCCATGCATGAAGTGATGGGCTTTTGGCTAGTATCACCTTGTTGTTTATCTTAAACTGTGTTATTGAGTTTTTTTTCCCCTTTTGAGTCATAGATTCTTTTAACTGTTTTGCATGATCTTGAATTTTGATGTTTCATTGGTTCTAACTTAATGCCTGTCAGCTGCCAAAGTTAATGGCTTTATTGTCAGCTGCTACATTTTCTTTTTAAAATTGAGTTGTTTTTTTTTTTTTCATTGTTCTTCTTGGTGATTTGTGCGTTATTGGCTCTGTTATATTTTTAATTCTGATTTTTAATTTTAATTTTAATTTTATTTTTTTACATTAGAATTGGTAGAATTGGTAAAATTGTCAAAAGCATGGATCTTTCTAGGGTTAATAATGATAGAGGAGAAATGAGAATTCATGAAAACTTGGATGAGCTAAGGACAGATTTGGCTGACTATATTGCTGAGCTATCAGAGGCTGCGGTGAAGGAGAGGGGCTGCTTTGCTATTGCATTGTCTGGAGGTTCTCTCGTTGGCTTAATGGGGTACCAATGCATTCCTTTTCCATGTTTTTTTTTTTTGGTGTTGTGATTTTGGTGTTCTTCCTTTAAAGTTTTTGGTGGGAAACAGAAAACTCTGTGAAGCTCCTTATAACAGGACTGTAGACTGGGCTAAATGGTACATATTTTGGGCGGATGAACGTGTTGTGGCAAAAAACTATTCTTATAGCAATTATAAGCTTGCAAAGGATGGCCTTCTTTCCAAGGTTGGTATCTGGATTCACACTTTATTTCTTTTTTTTTTTTTGTGTCCTTTCTGCTTTCCAAGAACCAAATGATGGGAAATTGTGGTAAGAAGATTTGTTTACTGTTCTGATATTGATATCTTATTATGATGTGTTCTTTGTTATCTCCTTTTCCTGGTTTCCCTGCTTTAGTTAAATATTCAAAGTGTAGATTAGTTCCTTCATTGTTCACTGATTAGACTGATCCACGCATTGGATCTTGAAATATTAGCCTTTGTTAGAAGGTATTTAAGCTTAAACTCCGTCTGCTATGATGTTGTTTTCTGGTAGTATTAGTTTACCTATGGTATCCCAGCATCTGATTCTTCATTAATGGATTCCTTATTTTCAGTGATTCCTCTGTTTGCTCCTCGAATTCATCTTCACTTTGTTGTGGTTATCTTAAGATATTAAACTAGATATATGCTTAGCAAGTACGAAGTATTAGGATTGTCTTATTACCCAAGTTATCTTTGTTTGTTTACTTTTTTTTCATCTGATGCAGTATCAAGTTTAACATTAGAAGGTGTGAAATTGAGTATTCTGTCCTCTTTGGGCAAGTGTCTACTGGCACGAATGTATTAAGTATCGTCTATCTTGTTTTCAATTGAACTAGATGTTTGGTTTTAAATACAAAAAACCTTCTTACGTCTGGGTTCTAGTATTTATCAGATATTTGGAAATTTCTTCATTCAGCTGAGGTTTATTTTCACCTTCCTGTTTTTATATAGTAAATCATGCTTCTTGAATTTCATTTGTTCATGGTGCCATCTTGACTCACCACCACAATATAAAAAACAAATACATGAAACAACTGTGCGTTTTTTCTCTATTAAGGGGGAAGTATTGGTAGGTTGGGGGTTTAAATACTCGTTATAAGGACAATATGGAAGTGTAAATTTCCACATAATTTGAAGACTTCTCTGGTAGTCCTACCCTTCTAAGAACTTTTGAACTTCTTCCGGTTACTAATTCCATTATCTTGCTGAAGATAGCATCAGGCATGTATCTTCAGAATATCAGATATGATCGAAGCAACCAAAACGACTGATGGTTCTGAAAAGCTAAAGGCCTTACAGTGAAACCGTCATTTTATCTTTTGTATCCTTGTAGACTCGTTTTTTCAAAGATGAAGAGTTCATATATTTGGAGCCTTTAAGTAATTTTTCTTGATATTCGTAATTAGACAAGTTTGAGAATTCTTAGGACTTGCTTATCTGTTACTGCTTCTTTGTCTATCCCTTGTCCCCTCTCGTTTTCTTAACGTTTCTCACATCTTACATAAATTTGATGAATGTTGTTCATTGTGTTATATGAAACATGAAATGAACTAACTAGCTTGTTAATCATGCTTCGTATCCCTTTAATTTGGAGTCACTAGTCTTCAAAATGACGTAACTGGCATCAAACTAGCTTGATTATGATAAAAGTTCGATTACCATTTTTTGTTTCTTTTCATCTAATTGTCAGAAAGTTATGGAAAAATACAATTGTATTGAATCATTATATAAACATTTGTATGTTTCCTGGCCTTCCATCCACATTCGGTATCATGGTTTCACCACTTTAAAGTTCTGAATTTAGCAATGCTTTCCTCGATGGATAGGTTTATTGAAAAATTTTGCTTCAGTTTGTCTTGATAAGTTTACGCCATATGGTATATGCTCTTATGACTTATGCCCTTGTATTTGCAGGTGCCGATTGTTCCCAGCCATGTTTTTTCTATCAACGATTCAGTTTCGGCAGAGGAGGCTGCTGATGAGTACATGTTTGTTATTCGGCAGTTAGTGAAAACACGAATGGTCAGCGTTTCTGACATTAGTGACTGCCCCAAGTTTGACCTTATCCTTCTTGGGATGGGCCCTGATGGTCACATTGCGTCGTTATTTCCAAATTATTCAGTGCTTGATGAGACAGATGAGTGGGTAACTTTTATCACCGATTCCCCTAAACCGCCACCAAAGAGGATAACTTTCACTTTGCCTGTCATCAATTCTGCATCCAATGTAGCAATGGTTGTGACAGGTGAGAGCAAAGCCGAAGCTATGCATTTGGCAATTGATAATGTTGGATCCGACCGCCCTTCGCCGCCTGCACGGTTAGTCCAACCAACAAAAGGGAAGTTGGTATGGTTTTTGGACAAGCCAGCTGCATCAAAACTGGAAGGTCATCAACTTTCTGAGCAGGGTCAAGTTTTTCTTGCCAAACTCTGTTTGTATGTAACAGAGGGTTTTGAAACCTGTTGATCCTCATCCTCAATTAGTTGCTTTCAGCTTCTTTTTCTATTAGTGTGGAAACCATTTTGTCAACAATCATGTGAACTGATCAAATATTAAAATTTTAATTTTAGGGTATTTATCATTTAAATGAGCATTTAATAACCAATATTTGCAAGGGTCTAATTAATTGATTTAATGTGAGAGTTGATTTGATAAGAATGAGATAACATTATTTTAATGGTGCTTTAAAAACCCAATTTTTAGATGATCTTAATATTATTGAGTAGATGTGACATATCATTTTGATTAAATTCCTGAAAAGGACTCTAATTGGGGACCTATTTTACCAGTTCAAGCAACACATTTTTCAAATATTTCAAGTCATGATCAGGATCAAAGATCATTCACTTGAAACTAAAATATTGTACTATGCATTTTTATAATATGCTCTCAATGGCATTATCAATTCACTGCATTAAGTAATCATTTCAGCATACAGCCAATTTGGTCTCCAGAATCCCTATTTAAATTCAATAACTTAACCCATGGAAAAGCACCCAATGATTTTTCTAGTCAAAGTTGCAAAAGACATGCATTTGACAGCAACATTTAAGACGGAAATCAAAGCAGATTTTGATAATTATATCATCAAATTCCATGCACAATGCTGTCATCTATGACATCATTTTGATGAGAAAAATATAGAAAGAGTATCAAGTTGGAAGCATCAGCCACATCATGCACACAACAATCAGACAAAAGCAGCAAAGATATGTTGCATCAGCTCTTCATGCTTTAGAAATCACTTTAAACCCAAGTTGTAATTCTTAAATAAGATTCCTGTGGGAATTGTGGTTTCATTCTTGTAGCTTTTGAAAATGGGAGGTTTTTGCAACTCACTGTCCAACACAGCACCGAGCAAAATATAAAGGTAATTTGATGGGTGAATGAAGTGGCAACCACTCATTTGTTCCAACTGGTAAAGGTTTACAAATCCAGTCAAAACTCCAAGACTTTTGGGATAATTTATACCACAAAACATGGTGGCTGAAAACAAATGCATAAAAGCTATTATGCTTCAAAGATTACATTAATATCAACCAGCACTAAAGGTGCAAAAAATATTTGAACAAAGATATGCAGTCCACTGACAACCATTCTTCTTCCAATTAGCATGAACCACTTAAAGTTTTATACAGTATAAAGGCTTAAAGTTTTACACAGTATAAAGGTTTATAAATAAAAAGCTGTTTGTGCTACATGATTCCATTCTAAACTTTTTAGAGGGGTCTTATTCCAACTTGACGCTTAGTTTGTCCCTTTGAACTTGCCCCTTTAGTGCAACCAAAGTGATGGGATCACTAAACCAGCTAAAAGTCCTTCAACAATGTCTCAAATAGGATCATATAGTAACAGAATCATTGAACCAGCTAACTAAATAAAATCAGCAGAGAACAAGAGTTCTCAAAAGGAAAAAAATACTACTGAACTTGCATCAATTTACAGTTACAAAGTCCAGAATTCACTCTGTTATATACCTATCAGAAACGAATGTACTACCAATGTTATCAGAATCTCTAACAATGTATCATGGAGGGCATCAATCAGGTAAAACATTTGATGCAGCACCTTCCTGCAAACCTGCAAGAAGAATAGAATATTAACCTTTCGCTTCTAATTCTCAAACAGCTATGTTTAATAGATATGATTGAAATCAAGGCCATTCATGGTGTTTCTCATTTGCATGTGGCCTTCCTCTTTCCTCAACATATTCTCTACGCCTAACTTTTGAAACCATTATTGACCTAAACAATTCTAGATTTATGGAGAACATTTGAAAGCGAAGAATCCACAGTTTGGCCACTTTAAGAAAATTAAAAACAAACTCAATCAAATGTGCAGTTTCTTTAGTTATTTATTTGCTGTCTGCTTTGTTCTTACATTTCAAAGTTCAATATGATTGTATGACAGTCTTGTGGGCTCCCCAACAATAGCCTTCCTACTTGCATTGATAGCTTAATCAAACAGAAAAGATGAAAATTTAGAAAATATGGTTTTTGCACTTACCTTGTCCCTCTCATACAGAGTAAGTGGTAAGGAAAGAACAAAGGTCCTCATTTTCCTGCTTTACTTGCATGGAATTCCTTTGTCGCTCCACTCTTTGGAGAAGTGTTGAAAGTTGAAGCAAATCAACAGTGGATCCATTTTCAGGAGAAAGACAATACTTTGCACTCAAAAGATCTGAGTCTTGAAAATATCCTTCTGCTTGGCCTTCAAAATTAACAGTATAACCAGCATCAGAGACCACAACAGACGCTGCTCCCATAGGGTTCATTCCGCATGAATAAAAGCCTTTCTCTTTTTCCAAAGAACACACTGCTGCAGATTTCCCAGAGCTATGATGGGCGTGGCAAGCTTGACCGATCAAGGGCCTACTCATTTGAATTCCTGTCCCATGGCTTGAAAAGTTCTGTGATTGAGCTGACAGAAGAGAGAGAGCACAATCTGTGCATGAAACCCCAGGAAACTCTTTAACTGTTGCTGCTGCGTTAGGAGTATTGAAGGCTTCAGTTGCAGATGAAGAAGTTCCAGGAATACATTGTTTCCCACTGCCATGCATATGAAAGAAAGATTTCGGTAGAAACCGGTCATTTGTGATCAGTTTTGCTGACTGAGGACTATAAACTAGTTTCTCTTCAGATTTAACCTGCTGACACTGATTAGTGTGGTCATATCTTTCTGGATAAACAAAGTCATCTTGAAATATGTTTGGGACGACAAAAGGCGCTCCTTTTGGTATGGATGTCCTCGGAAATTTGGTACCTAAGAGTCCACATAGGTGACAATATGTTAAAATTTTGCTATATGAAATTCTATAGCCAATTAAGGAAGCAAAGCAAGCTAAGACCATAGGGTTGCTTCAACTCTGTATTTCTCATTTTAACTAGCAAATCAAACTGATTTCTGTATGCACATATTAGTTTATAAGAGATTGTAAAGGGAGAAAACTTAATGTAGCTGAACATGAAAAAGTTCCTATAACATGTACCCTTAAATGGGTTTAATGTTAATCATATTGCTGAAAATGGAATGACTTCTAAAGGGAACCTTTTCAAAACAATTGGAACGATTTCAAGAAATCATAAGACTGGATGACATGGCCATTCCCCCTTTCAATTTAATAGAATCTGCAGCCAGGAAAATCCTGAGATGAAAAGCTTTATTTTTGTTCATTTATATATATATATATATACATATGCAGTATCAAAACAGAATTATTACAAGAAGCTGTGAAGAATTTTGAAAGGACCCAAGAAAAATAATGTTTTCTCGAATCATGGGATATATGCCTATGCTCTTAAACTTGCAGAAAATAAAAAATTTGCAAACGATTACATCAATTTAGTACTAACCTTGTTTACTAGCAGAAAATAAGTTGCTAGTTAAGAAGAGTAACTTAATTTTGTCGGGAGATGCAAAGTAAGAGATTATTCATACCTTGACATGACTGCAGCAACTTATGTGACTTTCCAGAAAAAGTATTGAAATGAAGCTTCCTTCTGCGCTCATTATGCCCTGCTAGGCGTTTACGACAACTGCGCTTACCATCATCAAATTCAGGCAGTAAATGAAACCTGATGAAGCAATAGGAATTACAATCACTACCAGAAATAATGTCAAAATATGGACCATGAAAGTGCAAAACAATGAACTAAAATAATTAGGATCAGTAAGCTTAAATAGAACAAACTGGACTACATTAAACTTTAAGCAGAAATTTCCATGAAATAAGGGTTCAAATTGTATAAAATCATATCTTAGAATTCTAAGCAACTTTTCTGAATTTGTTTCATTGCATCCTTTGAAACTGTGAGTATCCCTTTGAGCATGGGCAAGCCCCTTTCATTTGTTAAAATACATCCTTTATATCTTATCACCAATTACTTCTTCCAAAAACTATAACACCAATAGAGAAGAATCCTCAAGGCTAGTACATGGGCTCATCCAAATATTATAAGAAAATGATCTTAAATTACAAACAGGTTAGCTAACTAAGAAATTTCACATACAAGCAGATCAAATAGAAGGGGAAAAGAGACTAAAAAAATAAAAACCCAACCTGCTACACTGCTGACAGAATCTCTGTTCAATTCCATTAACAACAACTTTGGCAGTCTTAGAGTGAGCCTCACAAACTTTATGCCTCTTGTGGTAGTCTTTTGAGGAGCTAAGATCCTGGTTACAACCATAAACTTGACAGCAAAAGCTTGTTGTCCGAGCTTTCTTGGCCATCAAGGCGGGACGAATTGAGGAAACAACAGAAGTTTCCTTTATAAACTTGCCAGCCTGTGCATCTCTATAATCAGTCAATCTCCCTAGCTTCAAATCAATGAGTGAAGATTCTTGACTGTTAGACTCCATCAAAGAACTAGAATGCTTGGAACCAGATTCCTCTTCATAATATGAACTAGAGGTAATCATACAAGAAGGAGAAGCTACCCTTTTACCAGAATCATTACCAAACTCAGCAGCAAAAGTTCCCATACTGGGGTTACCATAAAAGGGTTTTTTGTTCATATCAGCAAAACCAAAATCCATTAATTCCATACTCTCAACAGCTTCAAAATCATTAGAAGGCTTGAGGTCCCAACCTATCAGTGCTCTTCTACCTCTAGCAAAAGCATCAACTGGAAAATCCATTTCATCAGTAAAAAGAAGGCCTTTTCCTTCAGAACCATAGCTCCAAGACTCCATCAGTATGAATAATGTAAGTTCCTAGGCATAATTCATAAAAGGAAGAAAAAAAAAAGAATAATTAGGCTAATCACTTCATTTAGTATTTTATTTCAATTTTGACATTGCATTATTATAAAAAGGAAAGCTAAAGACATCCCCGTGAGCATTGAATAACAGGTCCATTATAAGAGGTTCAAAAAATAAGAGAGAGAGAGTCAAAGCTATGTTTGTTTGCAGAGAAAATGAATAAGAAAAGGAAAAAAAAAAAGAACAGGAAACTGAATGCTTGTCTTGTTCATTGGCTCGAGAAACAAAATAATCTAACTCAATGAACTTCTTCACAAGAATTTAAATGAGTAAAGATGATGATTTGAATTGCCCCCAAAAGGTTGATGTTTCTTTCTTGTGTTTCTCAAAGAACAAGGGAAAAATATTAAGGGGAGGAAATGAACAAGTTCACATATTTCTTCTTTGATATTGCCATCCCATAAGACAAAGTACAGAAAAACATAGTGAATCTTTGCTCAAGCAGAAGTGCGCCCAATGCTTAGAGAATAGAAAACCTCCAAATTCTTTCACATTCCAAATCCCAAGAAAACGGAGCTGTGGTAAGAAAATCTCACTCTTTGTTTTCCAAAAGCTTAATCAACCAAAAAAAAAAAAAAAGTACCCATTTTCGGAGATTAAAAGACAAAAAGGATTCACAGGGGTACGTTTAGTCTTTGTTAAAAACTTTAGTAAAACAATCTGGGATGTTGCAAGTTTCCATCTTTCTCTTCTTTCCCTACAATTTTCCCGAAAACCAAACAAAAAAAACCCAACAACTAAGACCCTCGAAAAACCAAAAAAACCCAAAATAAAAAAAGGGTTATCGTGGTTTTCTTTGGCTTACCACAGAGAAAAGAAGAAAGCAATGTTAAACGATAAAAAGATAGAGAGAGAGAGTAAACAGATATAAATAGAGGGATTGATAGAAAGAAAGAGACAAGTTTTATTATTATTAATTATGTGGTGAGGTCGAAGCAGATACACTGTGTGAGTCAACATGATTGCCACTACTAACCCATTCTGTCTGAAAACCATGTCCAGGTCTTTTGTTGCTTTTGAGGTGCTGTTGTTTCTATCATGAAATTCCATTCTTGACCCTCCCAACAACTTACAGAGACAAAACAATCTAAATAGAGATGATTAACAGTATTTTGTTTAATTTGTTCGTTTAAAATATTAAAATTGACGTGTTTATATCGTATTTTAAATTATAAAATGATAAAATTAAGTCTGTATCTAATTTGATTTTGATGTGTCTGATAGTTTTTCATAGTTTTTGTTTTGTTTAAATCCATCCATCAAAAGTTGGAAATTTTGGTTTCGGGCCCTTCCCTCTCTTGCTTAAGCCTGTCTAATCTGGGCAGCATTTCTTTCCATTTTCTTGCCACTTGTCATTCTTTTAGGGTCACCCGCCTTCTGGTTTGGGTTAAAAGTTAAAGTTAAAAGAGGGTTTAGTTGTCTTTTTCTCAATTTTTTTTAGTAATCACAAAGAAAATGACACCGAAAATGGACATTTATATCCTTTTCTTCTTTTTATTCTTTTTGGGTTGTGAAAGATATATGTTTCTTTTTAATTAATTGAAATTGAATTTGTTTCCTGGTTTGATATTATGTTGGATATGACAAGAAGACCCTGCTTGTCACTTGTATAGCTTGCTGATTACACGTGTCAAAAACATATAGGGAAGCCCGGTCAAGTGGGACACTAGGCAGTGAAAACCTGCTTAGCTCTGCTTTGCTGACACGCACTTTTTTAAAATTTATTTTACAAACAATTACCATTCTTGCATGAATTGCCAGCCATTCCCCTCTCCAACAACTTGTCAATCGTGCAGCAACGCACTGTCACTCGCACTGGCACTGGCACTTTCACTTTGAATCTTCACTCCAATCTCAGGATATTTTAAAAGTTACTATCTTATACAAATTGGGGTTAAATTCAAATTTAAGAGATATTTTTTATAAAATTAAAATTATAAAAGTTTTGAATTAAAGGGAATTATAATTTATAAATTAAGTGTAAATTTTTATAAATAATATTAAAATGATAATTAATTGAATAAAAATTAAATATTATATTATAAGAATTATTTTTAGAATTGTTAAGAAATTAAATGTTATATGATAAAAATTATTTTTAAAATTTTAATATTTGTTGTGATTTTAATTTTGTGATTAAAATTAGATGTGAATCTTTATATATAATATCAGAATAATTAATGATCGGATAAAAATTATATATTATATTAAAGAACTGTCTCAAAAATAATCACATCTAATATTTTAATGTATGATATGATTTTAGTTTTATATATATTTTATATTAAGCTTGACAAAAACATTAAATTTTAACAAAAAAATTTATAATAACTCAATCAAACATCAAAATGTTTAAAAAATCTATTATAATATATAACTAAAAATTTAAATTTAAATTTATAAGATATTTTTTTATCAAATAAAATTATAATATTATGAACTCAAAGTCAATAATATTTCAAAAATTAAATGCGATGTCTACCCGGACCAAACCCTAACCATGGATAATAACAGAAATCTTGAATGCAATCTCCTAGGAATTTAGGTGAGGCAAAAGCTGCTATTTTAGCTTTATGGAAAAAAACAGCCCATTACTATCAAGTGCCACTTAGCTAGGCATTTTGCAATCGTTTTTGTACCTGAAATCTTCATAAATAGGGCACAAACAAATTAAAAAGACAGGAAAAGACAATAGTCTTTGGCCTGGTTTGTTCTGATGGAAATGGTGGGTTAATGGGTTTGATCATGGAGAATGTCTATCCCCATTTTTACAAGCCGCCTGCCTCTCCCATCCTGCACCGGCGATTGTAATGGTAGATGAACTGTTGAAATTACAAAAAAAAAAAATTACAAAAACAAAACAAAGTTACATTACAAAACAAAGTTCCATTATAATGTTGCCATGTGTTGAGAATATCAGAAAGAGTAAGCTCTACCCCCATTAAGTTTGCAATAACAAATTGCCATTTTTTATCCAATTAGAGGCTGTGGGAATTTAAGATAGATTGGGTTGTTTTTTTTTGTTTTCCGGTTTTTCCAATTTTGGCTTGATTCTGGCGAGCAATATTGGCAGGCTTTAGGCTTCTAGCATGCCCTCCATTCTATGGCTAGAAAGTGTGGTGTAGCCCTTTGATTTCCCTGTACAGAATTAAAAGCTTGAAAAAGCAAAGAAAGGGAAATGGCAAAAGGTTACGATAGGTGAAGTTGATTACAACTTGGAGTTTTGCAGTGCCACTTCCCATACGTTAAGCTAGCTGATTGGAGCTTTGGCATGTCGTTGTCAAGCAAAAGATGATAATCATTATGATTGCATTGTGATGACAATAATAACAAAAAGAAAAGCTGAGAATCAGAGAACAAGTTGTTGATTCGAAGAGCAAGTCTCATAAGCAATTGGGCTTAGACCCTCAATTGTCCCAGCCAGGGCCAGGCTCATACAGCAATACTATTTCTAAGAGAGCTAACCCAACTTTTCGTTGTAGGTTCTGAGAATTCGTTTGCAGCTGGCCTTGCCACAAGCAGTGGATTTGAAAATTGGAACCGCACTATTGCACTGGGCGGAACTGACAAGTATCAAAAAAAGAACCAGACAGGGCAGGTGCAAACCAATCAATTTAGAGTGCTCTCATGATTGCTAAGTGAATATAATTTAAACTGAAGAGGTTTATGTTTTTTTTATGAGACAGTATCCTACTTAACAATTCCCTTATGTTTGCTAAGCTGCATAAACACTGCTATTAACAATATTGCCATGTTTTACTTGAAATGTTTTCTTTCATAAGCATATTGAGCAAAATCCTTAATTTTGTTTCTTCTTTGACAATGCTATTGTTCCCTAATTTTCCGAATCAGAAGTTTGACTTAATAGAAATTGATTCTTAGATGCCTGTGGAGCCAAAATTCCACATAATTATATTTAAAGTGATAACACATAAACATAAGGATTTCCTACTTTTTTTTTTCCTTTCCTTGAGAAGCATATGATGTGATTCTGTTATTTATAGTATAATAGTAGTAGGCATGTGTGTTTTTGGCGATATTGAGATGATTCTTTGGATGATTTATGTATTGTCTAAACCAACTTTTCACAGCTATGGTTATCATCTTCTTCCTTCCAGTATGAAGCAGACAATTTAGCTTCCATTTTAGAGGGATTTGAGGTCAGCTTGAAGATGGATTGGAAACTTATGTCATAATTTTTTGTGTTGGCATTTTAGAATGTGGTGCATCCTACATTAGATAGAAAGATTTAATTATTGATGAATAAAATTAATTTTTATATTAATTTTATTCATATTTTAAATAATTATGTTTGAACATAAATAATTATCATATGACAAATTGTTATAACTATTTGAATATAAATAGATTATTATTCATAAATGTTATATTTATATAAAAGGTCATAACCATCTGAATAAAAGTTTATGTCTGTTCATTAATTATAAATAAATCTTTTAATATAACCATTTTTAATACTTCTGATTGAAGAGTTAGAGGTTTTGTTGTATTCTAAAGATATAATTACCTTTAAAAAAGTGTTTTGCCCTCAAAGCCAAAATTATTTTCTATTGTTTCTCTTCTCTTATTTATTTTTTTCTAACAATTTAAAGGTAATTATGAGAAAGTTATATTTTGCATAAGGAAGATACAAGGAAAAGAAATTGGCATGATTTGAAAATCGGTATTAGAGAAAGCTCAACGCATCAAAGGACTAATGTTTCTATAGATCAAAATGTTACTTGTCATAAAAATCTTCATTAGAGATACGTATTTTATTTTTTGCATAATTATTGGTAAAAAAATTGACTGAATGAGATAAACACATTAATAATTTATTTTATTAGTGTGTAAAGTCAAAACACAATATGCAAAAAATTGATTATATTGTATAAGTTTATGCATATTGACTTCACGATTAGGTTTAATGAATTGTATTATATCTATTTGAAAATTGATGCTTATAAAGACTGGAATGAGAAATAGCCTGACAACATAAAAGAGAAAGACATGAATTGATTTATGACCAAAAGACTTATCACTTGTTATCAAATAACGAATTTGAGGTTCTAATGGAATGATCAATTGTTTAATTGTCATGTCATGATTATATATAGAACAGGCAAATTATCTCATAGTTTCTATGAAAATAATAAAAAATAGGTAAAGAAATTTACCATGAGAAATTAGATGCAAGTAAAGAATATATGCAGGAAATAAAATTTGGCTACAATATTAGTTTTATTATTAAATCATGGCACTAAATTTGAGATAATAAGTTGAGTCAAGCTATTTGTATGATTCTATCTTTGTTGGTCGTTTATAAATCAAATGTTGATATATATATTTAAAATTTATTATTGATTCAAAATTTGACTAGTGTTTAATTTTCATAAAAACCAATTATAATTAAATTGATATATGTTAATAATTATTATTAAGATATGGTGTTTCATGGATTAATTGGTGAATAATAAACCAAATATTGATTATTATCATAAACATGGACAGTGTGACATATATTTTGCTTGTTGGGTGTATTACACTAGAAGTGATTTTACAAAATAAAATTTTATTATAAACAATCACAAAGTGAAAATCATAAAAAGCAGTCAAAGAGTTAATTAATGGTTACAAAAAAGCATTGTTACTTTTTGTATATGGGATATTGATTAAACGAAAAGGCATGCCATTAAAAAATTTGAAGCATTTTTCAATTACTAGCATTTTGAAAGATGCTCATAAATGTCTAATTAGGCATGTTTATAAAATTAGAAAAGAAAATGCAAATTTCGTGTTCCAAAGGCACCAATACAT